ATGTAATGAGTCTCATATAATAGTTTCACCTTTTAAGTTGCATTACTGAAATTAATGAACTTTTGCGCGATATTCTAATTTTTCGAGTTTCACCTGTACTTACCTGAGCCCGATGTCCATCCTCTGCTGTGCCCGAGAGCTGCATCACTGCTCTCTCTTCTCACTGGCTCAGAGGCAGTATTGGGAGCCATTGGCTCCTGCTGCTGTCAATCGCAGCCAGTGAGGAGGGCACAGGGGCGGGACCAGACCGCACTGTGTGTGTTTGTCAATGGACACAAAGAGCACCACAGCTCGGGAGTAGGCCTACATGAGAGCCACCACAGCAAGTGGCTTGATATGGGGGCACTCAGCGGGGCGAGGGACCTGAGAAGAGGAGGATCAGGGCTGCTCTGTGCAAAACCATTGCACAGAGCAAGTATAACATGTTTTTTATTTTGAATATATACTTCACTTTAGACTGGGACAGCAAGATCAACCACAGGGATTTGACACTTTTTGTTAACTCAAAAAAGAGTTTGTCAAAGAATTTGGGGGTAAAAAATTAATCCAATCATCACAGACTGCACATATTATCTCTTCATAAACAGGAAGAGATATGAAAGATTTTGTAGATCTTTTTCTACCCAAAAAGGGTAATAGCGAGATGGAGGAGTATCAATCTGCACCACAGAAGGGCTCTTGTGGACAGCAGCAATGAGCTATTCCATGTTCACAAGCAAGCACGTTATGTGAAGCAATAAAGGCATTCTGGGGAGGAAAAAAAAAAAAAAAAAAAAAAACCCTTTCTGCAGCTTCCACTAATGGTGCATCAAGGTCCTTACCATTCACGTCTGAGTGAACTTACCTCATCTAGTGCAAGCATATCTTGATCTGATTAGGTAGACAAACGGGAGTAGAAGAAGAGGTGTGGTGTTTTTGAGCCCTGGGCTGTATTAATTATGTAGGCCATAGACGGGCTTTTTATCGGCCGATAAACAAAAAATTGGTCGTCGCTGCCACCAATGGTTATGAAAAACGTCCCTTTTTCGTGGATTTTCCACCATGACCGATAAAAAGAAACAAGAAGATCTGCAAAAAACAGCCGACGGCATTGCCCCACTAACGGTGTGAATATCGGCCGATTTTTCATTCAAACGAAAATTCGGACGATAAACGACCCATCTATGGCCTGCATAAAGACGTTAATTTTTCCAAGTATGACATAGATGCAGAAAATTCTGGTTTTGTCAAATAGGCCATCTGTTGCATGTCTGAAAAAAAGCTAGAATCAGATGCAGAGATGCACGTTAGAGCTGACTCATGCTCAGATGTGCAAAATGCATGGTCAGAGTGAATTATCGGCAGATCAAATTTTGCATGTGGTTTTGTAATGGCTCCTTCTCACCTGGTCTCTACCATAGCTACGTGAGGGTTTCCCCTGTGGGGTATACTAACGGAGTAGGATGTGGAATATAGGGTAAGTGTGTCCAGAAGGAGAATGCAGCAACCCGTGTGTAGACAGTCACAAATTATCATGGCAAAAGGGTGAGAGGAAGTGCCCGAGCATCCTAAAAACGCCCTCAAGGCAGAAAGACTTAAAACGTTAACACAGTACTGAACAAAATTCAAACATTTCCCCTGCCTTTAACAGTGATGGTCAGAAGCATACAAGGTGACCCTGTCTTACCTGCCTATGATGCTGGACTGTATATAGACTCTAGAATTCACTTGCTGCGGCGGGCACACCTTCAAAAGGGTCTACAGGGACTGGGTTCCAAAGGGATGAACCACAGTCCTGGACCTATATAGCACCCTGCAGCTTACTACCCACTGCATTAAGTGCCAGGGTGAGTGCCCATGCAGGATTCAGTACTCCAAGCAACACCACAGCCATCCCCAAAGCAAAGGTTCAGGGTATGGCACCCAAGGTTTACCAAGGTTGCGCAGATCTGGATGCACTGGGGTCGTGTCCTCAAACGTTTTGCCAGTGTCCAGTCACCAGAAGGAACAAGCCTATACCCCAAGATCTATGAATACTCTGCTTGTGTCCTGTACAATTACTACTTTTAAAGAATATGTATCATTAAAAAAAAAATTGAATCCCCCTGGGGACCTAATGCACATCACACCTTGGTCCAAGTCTAATCTGGACAATTTGCCCCCAACCCCTCTCCATACTGCTGTCCAACACAGCTAGCAAGAGGATGAAATATATAATTAGTTGTGTCAGCACTCTTTTTGGCAGCAGGGGCTCTCTGGAGACCAGCACTGTCATTCACCACAGTAAGGGGGAGGGCAGTTTGGAGAAAGTATGAAGGTGGCAGACCTGGGAGTAGGCTCTCTGCTTGAGTGTGAAGATGGGGACAAGGAGTGGGGGAAATCAAAGGATATGAACAGAAGGGAGGAGGAGAGGAGCCGGCACAGGTGAGGCTGTACCTAGGTAGAGGGAGCAGACAGGAACAAGAACGATGTCTACACAGGATGTAACAGTACAGAGCACAGATCTGCACTGTACTTGTATGTATTATGGACTGCTTGACAACAGGCACAATATAATCCAGAATAATGTAATTCAATCCTATTTGTTCTAGGTTATATTATATATTAAAAACGAGAGTTTTTCAGCATTAGCGGTTTGCCGCGTTTTTCCACATTTGCCGTTTGTTTTCTTTTACCAAACCATTTGGATAGCATTGTACTCATGCATTGAAGACAAACAGCTAAACATTAGAGCTTATTCTGAACTAATTACTGTCCACTCACACATTCTTCATAACCCTAAAGAAAACCTTTCCTATGGGCTATATTGAAGCGGTCATTTTTACCTCCTTCTGAAAATGCCAGTTGCCTGCTTGTTAAGCTGACCCACTGGTTCAATATATTTTTTTTTTTTTTTTTTTTTTTTTACTTTGAGTCACTGACCTGGAACATTAGGAATGTCAGAATTCCTTCTCTGCATACTTGTTCCTTGTTAGTCACTCAAACTATTAAAAGCAAAAGGGCAACATGACTGCCAGGCATGTCAAATTTGCAGAATGGGAAGTCAACTAAGGAAGCTTCATGTTTCTCTTAGGAAACTTTACTTTAAAATGTGCAGGCACTTAAAGATGGCGTTAGCATTTTGGGAGAAAGGAAGCAGAGTATCTTTATCTGATAAGTCAACACCTGTAATATTACACTAGCACAATACTTACCAAGCCTGAATGTAACATGAAAAACTGTCCATCACACGTGGCATGCATAACAGCAACCTAATCCAGAATCCTTCATATATAAAAGACTCATTTATACATGCATGGTCTGAATAGCGATCCAAGATGGATCACAGAGAAGCAAGGGGGATGTTGACACGTGTTCAGGAGAAAATACAGTCTTCTCTTGAATGTTTTTTTTTTTGTTTTTTTGACAGCCGAACTGGCTTTTTCAATGAGGATATCACACTGCGACTGCATATCTAACATTGGCTTGCGATTGTGGCACTGCCCCATCTAGTTTAATAGGCAGTGTTTGCTGGTGATATGGCCTGGCAAGCACAACAGTGGGGATAAATTCTGCCACATTGCAAAGTATCGCAGCCATGGCATTTGTATACCCCTCTGCGGCTGCCTTTGCAGCTTAAGTCTGGGTTCACACTTGTGCGGTACATCGCATGTGATTCGCACAGGAACCACGCCACATTCTTGTGCAAATCACATGCGATTTGTGTGCGGTTCAATTAGAGCCATACATAATGTATGGCTCTATTTGCACCACACCTGCACCAAATGTGTAAGGACCCTTTTTTGGGTCCGCGCACTAGAATCGGATCGCATAGGTATTCACATCTATGCGCTCAGATTCTTCACATTGCACCGCGTTTTGCAGACCACTTTCGGGGTGTTGTTAACATACACACCCACAGCGGTTCGCATGAACAGGGTGCGATTCTGATGCGGTGAGGAATTCCCACTGAAAATGCTGCAAATTCCACACCGCATCAGTGTGAACCAGGGCTAAAGTGCAACTACACTGTATCTGAGCACCAAAAACAAAAGTTATTGAATTCATTTTTAATATTCAGAGCAAATTCCCCATCCATCCATGTCTCCATGCTTTATTTTGCCAAGAAACCACTTAGAAAAACATCCCCTAGCATTTCTGGTTGTGGCCATCTTGAGTAAGGGCAGATGATTAATGTAGCATTTACGTCCTGGAATCCATCTGCTCTTAGCTCAGGCATGCAAGCAGGAGAGTGAGCTTAGCAGAGAAAACCCATCCTCCCCTTCTGAAGACTCCTGGGATGTATGACATTTGCCTAGGCATGGTAATTAGCAAGTAACTAAAGAAATATAAAAGGGAAATAAGATAAAGACAATAAAAAAAAAAAATGGTTTAAAAGCAAGTAAAAAGGATGCTTATCCTATTTGTTCACTAATGTTAGCAGTATAAGGATTCAAAATAATCAATTTGATTGAGAGAGTGAAGTTCCACTTTAAGAAGGCAGTAAAAACACAACTCAATCATCTATTTTTACCTTTGCCCAACTGCAAGTGTAGACTAGGCCTAAAATGGATGGAATTAAATCAGATAATTCTGTGTTGCACTCGATCCTATTTTATTATTATTTTACTGAATCTGTACAGTGCTACTATTCCTGTACCCCAGGAGACTAAAGAATAATGGTTATACAAATAAAATTTCCAGCTCCTTTGTGGACATTTCTGCCATAGTGACCAATATAGATCCAACATAGCTATGATGAAAAGGAGACCAGATACAGGTTACACAAAAGTAGGTAAGTCAAGAAACCTTCCGGGGTTTTTTGTATGTACAGGAATTTTCCACTAGACTTACAGACATGGCATTATAAAATTTCCCTCCAAAGCCACAATTTTACTAAAAAATGACTTTTATCCCAAAAAAGTAATTTAAAAAAAATGAGAACTTTCGGGGTTTTTTTTTTTGACACAAGCATTTATCATTTATCCAACCTTCAGTATTATAATGTATATTAGATTAGAGGAAGTAACGAAACGAGTCACCTTAAGCTTCGAGCCGGTTAGCAATGGACAAGGTATATTCGTGTTGTTTTTACTCTTCTTGCATGCTGTATTCCCCAACACCATGGTCAGTTTATAGTTCATCCCAGAAACTACCTAAACAAGTATAAATGAGAATGAAGTATTACCAGGGTATTCCATACTTTAGCCACTTGCCCTCCAGAGGATTTACCCCCCCTTTCTGATCAGGCCATTTTTTACAATACAGCTCTGCAGTACCTTAACTGGCAATTGTGCGGTTATGCAGCGTTGCACCCAGATGAAATTAATGTCCTCCCCCCAAATAGAGCTTTCTTTCAGTGGTATTTCATCACCTCTGTTTTTTATTTTTTTGTGCTATAAACAAAGACCAACAATTTTGAAAAATCAAAGTTACACTTACGGTAACGTCCTTTTCAGTAGTCTTTCAGGACAGCACCTTGAGGGACCTCAGCTCCTCCCCACCTGAGGAAACACCTCCACCCAAAATAAAACTTCTGCCACTCCCCTCCGACCTCAGTTCTTAGATTAGCACCTCTGATCACCTGGGGAGACATAACATGAGACACCAAAACACAATAAAACATCTCTCATAAATATTATACAACAAAGGGTGGGTAACAGGTGCTGTCCTGAAAGACTACTGGAAAAGACATTACCGTAAGTGTAACTTTGATTTTCCCTTTTCGTCTTTCAGGACAGCACCTTGAGAGGATAAGAGAGTACTCACCCCTAGGGCGGGTTAACTGCTTGCAGAATCTTACGTCCGAAGGCCTGCTCCTATACCGAGACCAGGTCGAGTCTGTAATGCCTAACAAAGGTCCTATAACTGGACCAAGTTGCAGCCCTATAGATCTGTCCTGGGGAAGCCCCTGCCCATTCAGCTTGTGTGGCCACCATGGCACACATAGAATGCACCATGATTTCCTCTGGAACCTCTAGGCCCTCGGCCTGATATGCCTGCTCGATTGCCAATCTCAACCACCTAGCTAATGTGCGTCTGGAAGCAGGGACTGACTGAAAACGTATGGGGCCCCCAGGCAATAGGTGATCATGGGGCCCCTGTGTCCTTGCCCAAACTCAAAAAAGCATATGAAAAAAAAAAAAAAAAGTACCAGGGGCATCTCATGGGGTCCCCTACTGACCCCGGACCCTCGGGCAGTGCCAGAGTTTCCAAATGGTCAGTCCGCCCCTGTCTGGAAGCTTTCTGTCCCTTTCTTGCCCCCCAAAAAAAAAAAAAAAAAAAAAAAAAAAAAAAAAAAAAAAAAAAAACACACGGACTTACGAAACTCCTTCGTCCTATCCAAGTAAAGGAGCACACATCTCCTCACATCCAACGTGTGAAACTTTACTTCTCTTTCCCATGAAGGGTTAGCGCAAAATGAAGGTAAAATAATGTCCTGACCTCTGAAAACTTGAGGCCACTTTGGGTACAAAGGCTGGATCCATCCTGAATGTAACCCTGTCTAAAAAACTTGAAAAAAAAGGCGCTCTGATTGACAGAACTTCTAGCTCACTCACCCTCCTTGCCGTGGTGATTGCTACCAAAAAAACGGTCTTGAACGTGAGGGCCCTCAGGGAGCTGGAAACTAAAGGCTCAAACGGAGACCCCATTAGTACCTTAAGCACCCTCGACAGATCCCACTTTGGAAATGGTCTATTTCCTGCCGGTCTCTGTCTTGACAAGACCCTAAAAAATCTAACCACCAATGCTTCTTTTGCCAATGGGGACTCAAAAAAAAAAAAAAAAAAAAAAAAAAAAAAAAAACACACTTAGAGCCGATATCTGGCTCTTAAGCGTACTGACAGCTAGCCCTTTATCGGCCCCCGCCTGCAAAAATTCTAGGACCGACACCAGGCTATAAACATCCATCGAGGCCCGGGAGCACCACATTAGCTCCAGACCTTCAAATAATTGCTTGGGTTTCCTTCTTCCTACTAGCTATGAGCATGGCAACAACCTTAGCTGAGAATTCTTTCGCTAGCAGGAGTTGTTCCTCAGAAACCACGCTGCCAAATTCCATCTCTCCACCCTGGGACATAAGACTGGGCCCTGCGATAGCAAGTCTTTCCGAAGCAGTAGTACCCAAGGCGGCCAAATTGCTAAGGTCACCAGCGTCGAGAACCACGCTCGTCAGGGCCAATATGGAGCTATTAAGATCAGAGAGGTCTGCTCTGTTCTGAATTTTTTTAATACTGCCGACAGCAAGGCGACAGGGGGAAAGGCATAACATAGGGAAAATCCCACTTTTGCGCCAACACATCCACTGCCCGAGCCCCGTAACACCGATTTAGTGAGAACACTGGGACCTTGTTGTTCTGACCCAAAGCAAACAGGTCTATGGCTGGGGACTCCCATTCCTTTACAATGGTCGGATAAATCTCCCCATTGTGAACCCACTCCGACTCAACTGCCGCCTGCTGAGAAAATCGGCTACCCGATCTAGCTCCCTTTTCAGGTGGACGGCAGATAAGAAGGCTAGATTTGCCTCTGCCCATGACAGCAACACTGCAGTCAGGACCCATAGGGACCTGCTTCGTGTTCCTCCCTGCCTGTTCACATAGGCTACCACCTATGAATTGTCCGAAAGGACGCGAACATGACAGCCCCGAATCAAGACCTGGAAGGAAAGAAGGGCCTTCGAAACTGCCCTGAGTTCCTTCCAGTTTGAGTATTCCTTTCTCTCCTCCCGAGACAAAGCGCCCTGTACCACGGATTCCTTCAGGTTCGCTCCCCATTCCTGGGCGCTCACGTCCGTTGCGATCTCCCTGACCACCGGAAAGTTCCAAAGTAACCCCTGGGTTAAGTTTGGTTGGAGGCATCCTCCTGCGCTTTATATAGATGGAATCCCTATGTATAAAGCTGCTGTCACTCAACTTAAACCAATAAGTAATCAAATCGTGTATCTGTAAATTAGTGAAGCACTATAAATAATATATATATATATCATAGTGCCATTAATAACTCATAGTGCTATGTGATAAACTAATACATTTGCATAAAAATTAGAATAAGTGATAAATAAATCAATAAGTGATAAATATATCTTGTGTATCCAAATAATTCATAAATTCAATGTATAAACTAATAACTGATTCACACAAATAAATCATCGGTGTGCATATAAAGAAACCAAGTCCATGCATGTGTAACTTGTGAAAAAATAAAGAAGAAAAGTGATCTTCACTTCTTCGGACAGGGGTTAACCTTGATGAAGTCACGACGCATGTGACGCAACGCGTCGGTACGCCATATCCGTTTTTTTAGCTACGTCACTTCCGGTCACTTGGGGACGCATGTCCGGACGCAGCTGCCATATTGGTTTCCCTTGCTTTATGTTATACACCCATGGGATGAGGTGAAATGCTGTTTGTGACAAGGAGACAAATGTGAGTGTAATCACCTTACTTTAAACTCTTTTCATTAAACAATATTGCACTATGGGAAGTTCTTTTTTGTGTCCTATAAACTATTGAGTGGAGGTGGGGTGGAAGTCCTGTGACCCCTGGATGAGCAACCTGCAATAAGGATCGGCCATAGAGGAGACTAATAGCCTTTTGGCCCTGTGTGGGTCAATGTGGGGAGGTGAGCAGGCACTGCTGCCATTCGAGGATTTTATGCACTAGAAGTGAAGATCACTTTTCTTCTTTTTTTTTTTTTTCACAAGTTACACATGCATAGACTTTGTTTCTTTATATGCACACCGATGATTTATTTGTGTGAATCACAGATATTAGTTTATACATTGAATTTATGAATTATTTGGATACACAAGATATATTTATCACTTATTGATTTATTTATCACTTATTCTAATTTTTATGAGAATGTATTCGTTTATTATCACATAGCACTATGAGTTATTAATGGCACTATGATATATATTATTTATAGCCCTGGGTTAAGTTTGCTGCCTTTCTCCACCACCAAAAGGGATCGCTTTACCCTGGAGGGAACCCGCACCCAGGAATCTAACGACATCTGCTGCCGGTCCCAGACGTTCAAGATGAACAGCTGGAGGGGACGTAGATGCAAACCCGCCCACTGTACCGCCAGAATGGACGAGGTTAGTAGACCCCAAAAAAATTTACATTGCCAGCCTCAACAATACCCCCTGGCTCTCTAGTAACTGCCAGATTCCTCCGTCTAACTTGACGAGCTTCTCAGGGGTTAAAAAGGTTTTCTGACAGGTGGAATCCAGTATATAGCCCAGATATGTCATCCTCTGGGCTGGAATTAAACTGGACTTGAACCAAATGCAATATCTCCTGCGATCCGGGACGCAGGCCGGTGGTGAGTAGATGGAATCAAACTCCAAAAAAAGGAAGGGACCACCGGAATAGACAAGGTCGTGCAGCTCCACACCAAGGCTGGGGAAGCCCAAACAAAACTGTGAAGGAGAACAACAAAAGAGAAGCACACCAACCTTGCGCATTACCTCAGTACCAAAATTTATTAAATAAAAGAATGGTACTCACAAATAGCGAATAAAAACAAGCATGTAAGTCCTCAAGGGGACTTTAGAGGCAAGATGCCAATGCGAATCCCATCATGGAGGAAGCCACTCAGTACAGCTGACGCGTTTCGAAGGACATGCCTGAGGAAGAAGGCATGTCCTTCGAAACGCGTCAGCTGTACTGAGTGGCTGACTCCGTACACACACACACACACACACACACACACACACATACATATATATATATATATATATAATAGCCCTGCCGCCCTGTACAGTAGTTCTGCTATAGGGCGGTCGGGAAGTGGTTAAACAAAAAAAAAAAAACACAAGCTGTCCTTATAAACTGACCCTAAAGCTAGGTTTACACTAGCGCCAGACTACCACCCCTCTGAAATGAATTGCTCTTCATAAAGCGGTAGAGCAGCAGCTTCCAGGAGCTCAGGGGAGATATCCCAAATTCCTGGACAGGGATTTGCAATCAATTATCATGCCAGCCAAGTGTTTGGCACATGGTTGCAGCACTGTCCTATTGACTAGGCTTTTGGTGTCTAGTCCGTAAGCAGATAAAGAGCCAGTTCAGTGGTGTAAATGAGGCCTTAATCTGACCCATACAATTCTCATATTTTGCTTCTCTAAGTGTAAACCAAAACGTATTAATTACTATATTGGGGGAATTAAAGTGAAATTCCAGGATATCACTAATCTTAAAACTGCTCTCACTCCCCTTCTAACTAGCACAGTGGCTAAATGGTTAGCACTTCTGCCAGGCAGTACTAGGGTCATTGGTTCAAATCCCAACCATGGCACCACCTGCCTGGAGTTTGCATGTTCTCCCTGTGCCTGCGTTGGTTTCCTCTGGGTACTCCAGTTTCCTCCCACACTCCAAAGACATGCTGGTAGGTTAATTGGATCCTGTCTAAATCGGCCCTAATATGTATGAATATAAATTAGGGACCTTAGATTGTACACCCCTTGAGGGTTAGGGACTGATGTGAATGTACAATATATATGTAAAGTGCTGCATAAATTGACGGCGCTATAGAAGTACCTATATTAAATAAATAAAGCTTGTAGATCAGGGGTCTCCAAACTTTCTGAACAAAGGGCCAGAGACAGTCTACTGCCTATCTAGACTTTAGCACAGCTGTCCCCAACCTTTTTTTTCACCAGGGACCAGTTTCCTGGCAGCCATATTTCCAAGAGGGGGGGTAGTGAGGCACCGGTTGGTGACGGGATATTCATGGAGTCGGTACTCAGCTCCCCTTCACACCACAGCCTCCCCTTTATATTTGTGTCCACAGTCCCCCTTTACAGCAGTCCTCAGTTCCCCTTCACATCACAGCCCCCATTTACATTATAGTGCCCCTTTACAGTGCAGTCCCTGTTACATTAATGTAAAGGGGACTGCACTGTAATGTGAAGGAGACTGCACTATAAAGGGGACAGAACTATAATATAGTGGGGCACTGTAATATAAAGGGGACTGCACCATAAAGGGACACTATAATGAATACAGTGCCCCTTTACAGTGCAGTCCCCTTTATATCACAGCCTTCCCCCCCCCATCACACAAAAAAAAAAAGTGGGAGCTTCCCCCATGCCCCCCTGACAAGATGACATCATTGGCGGGGCAGAAGAGCTGCAAGAGGAGACACAGGCTTGGCCATACACCTGGAGGTGATCAGTGACCATGGTCTGTGTTAGACATGTCCAGACTGCGGTCATCGCTCACCTCCCATTGTGTGGTCCAGTCATCAACAGGCCATGGATCGGTATCGGGTCCCGGGGTTGGGGACCCCTGCTTTAGGGGGTCAGACTGTGGGAGTAGAAAATTGTATCAGTGGGAGAAATAGTGCCCCTTCTTTGGTGCCAGTGGAAGAATAGTGCCTCTGACAAGTTTAACGGACACCAAGAGACCATATGGCAGGTGTGGACAGGTGTGGTGTGTGTGTGTGTGTGTGTGTGTAGGGGGGTCTCTTCCCTCCAATCAGCCCCCCCTTTTCTGAACTCTCAGACAAGCTTTATAAATTTAGCACTTTAAATGTAAAGAAGAGAAGACTGCAGATACACAGGTACAATTTATGTAGGAGGATTTGTTTCATCCCTGTGCACCTCAGGCCAATCACTTCACTGAGCAGATGTAAAGGTTTACAACCACTTGCCAACCTCACTATAGCCAAATGACGGATACAACGCGGTTGTCCAGTTCTGAGAAGGTGTCATATGACGTCCTCCCAAAACGTGCCCTCCCGCATGCCCCCCAGTGATTTCCATGATCGCTGTGTTCTACAGACACAGCTGATCACATGATGAAGTAAAAGGTCAATCACAGCAGCCTTATACCACATGATCAGCTGTGTCCAATGACACAGCAGATCATGGAGTAAATAGAGTTTCCAGTTATTGGCTGCACTTTCCTCATGCTGTCACAGCGTAGGAAAGTACTGCCGATAACCAGCAGCTGTCACAGAGCAGATTGGCACTGATCATCAGTGCCCCCTATCCATGCCACCTCATCAGTGCTGCTGCGTAACAGTGTAGCCCAGCAATGGGAAAACTACGGCCCGGCGGACCTTTTAATCCGGCCCGCGGAGCTAGGCTCCCGCTAGGCTCCTCTCAGTCTGCCCTGAAGACTGGTGTAGCATGAAAATCTGTCTCCTATGAGGATCTGTCCCCTTCGACGTATCTGCGCATGTGCCGGAGATCGCCGATCGGCTGCTAATGCCTGAAACTGGCACATGCGCAGATACGTCGAGGGGGACAGATCCTCATAGGAGACAGATTTTCATGCTACACCAGAACGGCGCGGGAAGACGGCGAGAGGAACGCGCGGAGCAAAGGTAAGTGAATTGACACAGGGGGGACTTGGGGACTTAATATGGGGGATGAATTACTATATGGGGGATGAATTACTATACTTACTATGGATGACACATACACATCATTCATCTACTCTTGGTCCGGCCCCAATATATGAACCCATTGCGGCCCTCAAGTCAAAAAGTTTGCCTACCCCTGGCGTAGCCTCAACTCACATCAGTGAACTAGAAAAATTACCTGTTTACAAACTTTTATAATAGAAACACTATTTTTAAGAAAGGTTTTGCTCATTTTTAGTTTATAGATTGTAAGCTCCAAGGAGTAGGGCCCTCGAACCCCTCGTGTATTGTATTGTTACTGTGCGGTCTCGTGTACTGTCTCCCGTTATAATGTACAGCGCTGAGCAAACTGTCGGCGCTATATAAATACTGTATGATAATAATAATATAGTGCACAAAAATAAAAACACACAGCAGTGATTAAATACCACCAAAAGAAAGCGCTATTTGTGTGAAAAAATGTCATATGTACAGTGTTGCATGACCACACAATTGTCATTCCAAATGTGAGAGCGCTGAAAGCTGGAAATTGGCCTGGAAGGGGGGAAAAGTGTCCAGTAGACAAGGGGTTAAGAACACTGTCCACTTCACAGCCTCCTAGCATTCAATGACGCTGACAGTTGGGTGAAACCTGATAGGGAAGCTGGGACACTAGTTCTCCATCAGGTTCACTCTCCTTGTGATTGCCAACAAGCAGTGGGCGGATTCTATAGACGACAGCAGGTTGTCTATTGGCTATGCACCCGCTGATTGCCTGCTGTCAATCACAAAAGGAGAGCGGACTTGATGGAGAACTAGTGTCTCTGCTTCCCAGACAGGCTCCGCCCACCCAGCTAAAAGTCCTCCGTGCTCTGTAAATGCGATAATACACAACAGCCCTAGAACCCGTGGAGAGGCGGACTGGCTTTCCTCATACACAGGACTCCGTGTATACAGACATTACCTGCTCCATGGCATCCTCCAGTGAGATCATTGTGTAGATGGAGCGGCTCTTGCTCTGCAGGTTGTACTGGGACACGCTGTATTCCGCTATGTCCTTCACTTCCTCGCTGTTCTTGTCGGCGGCGCTCCATCCGCCTAATAAGTTAGCCGAGCCGAGGGACAGGGAGAGCGCACAGGACGCCCAGGGAACACGGCCCGAGAAGCCATGACGAGTCTGCTCCCTCCTCCGCTCTGTACTCAGAGCTGTGCTGGGTGAGGACGGCTTTCCGGGGGTTGTCATGACGAATGGGGCGTGTCTAGAAAACCCGAATGTTGACAGGTCAGGGAGGTGATAGGGTCATGGAGCTCCTAATGTACACACAGGCCAGAGTCCAGCCACGCTCCCTCCTGAGGCTTTACACCCCTTCCTGACCACGCCATTGTTTGCAATACAGCGCTGCGTTATTTTAACTGACAATTGCGCGGTCATGCAACGCTGCACCCAAATGAAACTTGCCTCCTTTTTTTCCCACAAATGGAACTTTTTTTCGGTGGTATTTGATCGCCTGGGTGGTTTTTATTTTTTGCGCTATAAACAAAAAAGTGACCGATGATATGTTTTGACTTTTTCCTATACAGCATGTCCAGTAAAAAAATGTAAACAATCAAATTTCATAATAAATATAGGCCAAAATCTATTCTGCTACATGGCTGCCAATATGTGTAAAAGTTTGGTTTATGTGAAAGTTTACAAATGGCAGTGTATATATACTGGAATTTGTATTTATTTCTATTAGTAATGGTGGTGATCAGCAACTTATTGCAGGACTGACGGGGGGGGGGGACTGTCATTGACATCCCCAGTGACACTAATACAGTGATCAGTGCTAATAAAAAGCACTGATACTGTACTAATGACACTCAAAGGGTTAACTGTGCTTTTTTACTATGTCGTCTATGAGCTTTACTATGTAAGCATGCTGCTTTGTATTGCTCTGCTATGCAGAGCAATACAAAGCAGCGTGCTGGAGCTGACGGGAGGGACCTGTACTGTTTACATACCCGAGAATTGCCGGCCGGGACCCAGTGATTGACAGCTGAAGCCACCAGTGGTGGCATGGGTAGGGAGCACACACGCCCCCTACCTGGAAAAATAAAATCGAGTTTGTATGTGTGTGTGTGTATGTGTGTATATATATATATATATATATATATATATATATATATATATATGTGTGTGATTTTGCACAGCCCGGCCACCCTGTAGCAGTAGTTCTGCTATAGGGTGGCACAGAAACGGTTAAAGGGAACCAGACTCAGGAAAATATCAGAATACAGGGGTATCCCCAGACTAGGCATAGACAGTATGTTCCAAGACATCTCTGCTACTTCCAAGCAGGGTGGATTTGATTTAAATCACTAGTCAGTAAGGCTTGATTTAAATCCTAGTTTTCTACATAAAGACTAATTCTTGCTGGTATAACTTTAATATGCAAGTAGATGAAGATTTTTAGAATAACAACTTTTCATATTAGTTTTTTTATCCCCAGTTTAATAGGTTAATCATTCATATTTGGACAACTTTTCTGTTGTACTTAGGAAGGAGAAAAATAATCATTACCTTAATAATAACAATTTAAATAGATTTATTCAACTGAAACAATAACATTACAGCATATGTTATTTGCTTAAACAAACATCCATGTTTGTTAACTAATTTGGCTAAACAAAATATATATATTTTAAGAAACGTAGACTGTCAGCCCCTTCCTCCTCACACTTAGTTTCACTTTCTTCTTGTGCAGATCTATTCCACTCCAAACAATCAGAAAAAAATATTGTTTCTATTCTATTCACTGAACTTCTTGAAATTTAGCACTGAAGGGGTTGATTCTGTATTCATAGGTTTGTAGAAGTTAGGATTAAGGTCTTTTTCTTAACTCTGTTTATGTTATAACATTTTTTGCTGTGAAGAAGAGGCATGTGATCTCCGCTGAGTCAAATTCAGTTTTGATAACTGCAAAGTAAACCAAGCATCTGTGATAATATCTTGTAGGCAGAGAAACTGCCCAATAATCTTACAAAAACCTCTGGAAGAGCATGACATTGTGAATGGATTAATGGAATTTATTTACCAAAAAAATTAAACATATACAGCCTTATTCCACATAAATAAAAAACGAATCTTTATTTCATGATGGAATGACCTTTGGATGGTAATATTTTCCTCAAAAAGCATTTTATTCAAAAAAAATCCGATTTTGTTTTTTTTTTTTTTTTTTTTTTTAAATCATTGATTTTTATCCACCCTGCTTCCAAGTCTGGAGGAAGCTGACATTCCGTGTTCCCAGTAATACAGCGGGCAAACAGCATGCTGAGTGCTAAAGAGGAAAACGTAGAGGGCTTAGAGACCGCTCACATACAGTGAAGGAAATAAGTATTTGATCCCCTGCTGATTTTGAATGTTTGCCCACTCACAAAGCAATGAGCAGTCTAAAAACCGAATGGTAGGTGTATTGTAACACTGAGAGACAGAATAGCAACAAAAATTCAAAAGAAATGCATGTCTAACAAATGATGCACTGATTTGCATGTTCATGAGGGAAGTAAGTATTTGATCCCCTTCACAAAACATGACTTAGTACTTGGTAGCAAATACCTTGTTGGCAATAACAGAGGTCAGACGTTTCCTGTAGTTGGCCACCAGGTTTGCACACATCTCAGGAAGGATTTTGGCCCACTCCTCTTGGCAGATCCTCTCCAAGCCTTTAAGGTTTGGTGGCTGATGTTTCGCAACTTGAACTTTCAGCTCCCTCCACAGATTTTCAATAGGATTAAAGTCTGGAGACTGGCTAGGCTACTCCAGGACCTTAATGTGCTTCTTCTTGAACCACTTCTTTGTTGCCTTGGCTGTGTGTTTTGGGTCATTGTCATGCTGGAACACCCATCCACGACCCATTTTCAATGTCCTGGCTGAGGGAAGAAGATTCTCACCCAAGATTTGATGGTACATTGCCCTGTCCATCGTCCCTTTAATGCTGTGCAGTTGTCCTGTCCCCTTAGCAGAAAAACACCCCCAAAGCAGAATGTTTCCACTACCATGTTTGACAGTTGGGATGGTGTTCTTGGGGTCATAGGCAGCATTCTTCCTCCTCCAAACATGGCGAGTTGAGTTAATGCCAAAGAGCTCGATTTTGGTCTCCTCTGACCACAACACTTTCATCAAGTCCTCCTCTGCATCATTCAGATGTTCAGTGGCAAACTTCAGATGGGCCTGGACATGTGCTTTCTTGAACAGAGGGACCTTGCGGGCACTGCAGGATTTCAATCCTTGTCGGCATTGTGTGTTACCAATTGTTTTCTAGGTGACTGTGGTCCCAGCTGCCTGGAGATCATTGACAAGATCCTCACGTGTAGTTCTGGGATGATTTCTAACTGTTCTCATGATCATTGACACTCCAGGAGGTGAGATCTTGCATTGTGCACCAGACCTAGGGAGACTGACAGTTGTTTTGTGTTTCTTCTATTTGCGAATGATTGCACCAACTGTTGTCACCTTCTCACCAAGCTGCTTGGCGATAGTTTGGTAGCCCAGTCCAGCCTTGTGTAGGTCTACAATCTTGTCCCTGACATCGTTGGACAGCTCTTTAGTCTTTGTCATGGTGGAGAGTTTGGAATCTGATTGTTTGATTGCTCCTGTGGACAGGTGTCTTTTATACAGGCCTGGCCCTCAACATCCGCCTGCGCCGGCTCACTTCGTTCACGGACGCTGAGCCTACTACAGCTGCCAACGCCTAGCCTACTCCACCTCCAGACGTCGATCCATACCACCTCCTGACGACGACCCTTCCACTCATCCCGACGTCGGGCTCTTCAGCACCCTCAGCGCCTCCCGACGCCAAGCCCTCAACACCTGGCCTCAACTTCTCCGGTCTCCAAGCCGCCAGCGTCACCAGATGCCGCGCCTACTGCACCCCAGACGTCGCGCCCTACGACCCCTCCGCTCAACGAACCACCGCACCCACTGATGACGTGCTCCCGCACCCACGGACACCAACCTACTTCACCCGCAGACTACTACAAACCAGCTGCTATCCTTGCTGCCCTCCACTCTCCCTCTCCCCTCCCAGAAGAACTCAATAGTCTCCTCCACAGCGCTTCAGACGCTCTGCTTCACCATCCCGGACTTGCACCCCCTCACCTCCCACGGCGTTTTGGACACTTCGCTTTGCCATCCCTGACCAGCACCCCTTCACCCCCCTGACCTTTCCAGCACCCCGCTCACCCCAACATGCCGCCCGCGCTCCTCCTCTCCTCCATCCTTAAAACCGCCTCCCTCTACCCGCCCACCCCCACTAAGCAGCTCTATATCGCCTCCTCGCTTCTTCCCTCTCCCCATTACGGCACCCACCACCTCCTCCCCCTAGAGGCCCCCCCTGCTCACGCCAGCCGATGCGGACCCCCTCAACCTCATACATGTACCCCTCCTCCCCATACCTATCCCCCCTCTCACGGTTGCACTCCTGAATGCTCGTTCGGTTTGCAAACAAACTTACCGCCATCCACGACCTCTTCATCTCCCGCCTCCCTAAACCTCCTAGCAGTCACCGAAACCTGGGTACAGGCCACCGACTCCACTTCCCCTGCGGCACTCACCCATGGAGGTCTCATCTTGACCCATTCGCCAAGACTGAGCGATCGCAGAGGTGGTAGTGTCGGCCTCCGCCTTTCACCGCTGAGCACCTTCCAGGTCCTCCCTAACCCACCCTCTCTATCCTTCCCCTCCTTTGAGGCGCACTGCATCCGACTCTTCTCACCCACCCCCTAAGGATCGCAGTGATCTACAGACCTCCTGGGTCCATACCCCACTTCCTCGACAACTTCGCCGCCTTGGCTCCCCTTCCCTTCCTCTCCTCTGAGCTTAACCCGACCATCATCCTCGGGGACTTCAACATCCCCATCGACAACAACCCGGCCACTTCCCAATTTCCTCCACCTAACCTCCTCCTTCGCGCTCACACAGCACACGCAATCCTCCACCCCAAACATCGGAGGGAACACCCTGGACCTCGTCTTCTCCCACTTCTGTGTACCCTCAACCAGTTCTCTAACACCCCCTTCCCTCTCTCTGACCCACCTCATCACGTTCTCCATCTCCCCTTCCCCCAACTCCTCCCCCCCCCCAAAACGCAAAACCATCACCAGCCGCAATCTCCGCAAACCTGA